GTGCAACGAAAGAGGATCGCACTCTACAGATGTTAATTAACACAATATTTAAGGGGTGGCCAAAATAATCGTGCCCTTCAGAAATACGAAGTTATTTTACTTTCAGAGATGAACTCTCAGTAGACAATGGAGTAGTTATGAAAAGACATAAAACCATAATTCCTAGCTCTCTCCAGTCATCATATACACAAATACTACACAAAGGACATCCTGGAATAGAAGCTACAAAACGCAGAGCACGGGAAATTGTCTATTAGAGATCAATGTCCGATGACATAAACAAGTTTGTGTCATCCTGCCAGGTATGTAATGCCCTAAAGGCACACCAAGCCAAGGAGCCCTTACTTTTACATAACATTCCAGATCTACCATGGACGATTGTTGCCACAGATATATTTGAGTGGAACAATAAGCATTTACTGGTACTCGTAGATTCCTATTCCGGATGGTTTGAAGTGAATACTTTAACTGACTTAACATCAGCCACGGTAATAGTGAAACTGAAGCGTCACTTTGCTACCCATGGTACACCGCTGATTCTCATAAGTGACAATGGAGGTCAGTATTCAGGTCAACAATTCAAACAGTTCGCATCAGAATGGAACTTTGTTCACATCATGAGTAGTCCTGAACATGCCCAATCAAATGGCCTTGCAGAGAATGCGGTAAAGCAGGCAAAGATGTTGTTAGAAAAGACACAAAGAGATGGATCAGATATCTATCAAAATCTTCTGAACTTACGCAATGTGCCAATTTTGTGTACAGTAAATAAATGAAAGTTGTTCTTCCCTATTCTTTACATTGGTATAAACTATAGTAATTATAAATCCATATATATAATATTTTGATAATAAATAGAGTGTGTAAAATGCAGTGATATATATTGTAATACCTGACTGCTTTAATATGTGTACAGTAAAACAATTTTATATTAACTGTGAGAAAATACACTTGTAATAAATTATTTGCAATGTACAAGGATGATAATTGTTTCAAAATATTTATTCAATAACACCAGTAGTCTTGAATTTACTGTATGTACAACAATAACTAAGTGAAGCCAACTAACCCGTAACTTAACCCTAACGTTCCCTAGTTTTTCCCAGAATTTAATAAAAAATACTACCAGAAACATGCTAATTTTCACTTTCTGCTGATGTCTAAACTAACACAAATTTACTTATTTATGTCCATAAATGAATGGAGTTTCGCATCTTTAAAAGTGAAAAGTATATTTTGAGGTAATTGGTTGAAATTTTGTGATTAAAAATTTCATTTTAGGTGTAATCAATTACAACAGTCCCTTAACAGACACTCCCCTAGCCCTCTGCCGTGAATACTGTAAAGAGGGTGTACTTCAATTCAGCTGCACAGTTTTCCATCTGTCTCTTATACACATCTAGATGTGTATAAGAGACAGGGGCTCCTTGGCTTGATGTGCCTTTAGGGCATTACATACCTGGCAGGATGACACAAACTTGTTTACGTCATCGGACATTGATCTCTAATAGACAATTTCCCGTGCTCTGCGTTTTGTAGCTTCTATTCCAGGATGTCTTTTGTGTAGTATTTGTGTATATGATGACTGGAGAGAGCTAGGAATTATGGTTTTATGTCCTTTTA